TAAAGCCCATTTCGAACTGGGCTATTCATTTAGTTAAAGGGGCGAATTCTGAGATGGATTAGCAGATAGGATRGGGTCTTVAYCCTATCCMSTCAGAGAGTCCAGATCTGAATGTGATTCAGATTTAGAAACCTCCTAATGAGATTAGGAGAAAGCTAATCTAAGCTGCAGATAAGATAATGGTTTATCCCAATCACCTAAAGATAAGTCTTATCCAAATATGATTTGGATAAGTTGCTCCTAATTGGATTAGGTGTTGATCTTTTAGGTTAACAAAAGGAGGGGGCGGCAGCCTAAGAGACAAGACATCAGATTTTCTTTAGTGCTGAAATCAAGAAGAGAGAATTCTGCACCTTGCGAATACTCTTTTGCTGCTTCCCTGTTCTTGCCGCCCTGTTTGTCAGTTTGATCTCCAGTTGTGGGAGAAGTCAAGATTGGATCTTGACATTAGTTCTTTGAAAAAGGATTGAAAGGAAGCTGTGCTCACGTACCTTTCTACTGATTATTGCAAAGGACAGAGTTCTTGGGGAAGAACACTGCTGATTCTACTCCATCCTGCACTGCGCCATTTTCAGTGGGAGCAGTCTTTGGATCATTCCTTGGGCGTGAACACCTTCGTTGGGAGATATTACTTCTCCGTATCAGGTATAATTCTTTCGTACTCCTTTTGGTTCAGATCTGGTTCAGTTTAAGGTTCAAGAATGATCCTTGAAAATATGGTTTTCTAAATAGGGAATGTGATTCCCAGTTGAAGGGAGAGAATAATTTTTGAAATTCGCCCCTTATTCTGCAATCTTTGGTCGTCCATGGGATGGATCTCTCATCCCTTCACTAAGCTACCCGAGGTGACTCAGCCTACGGGCTCAAACTCGAACTCTTCCTCGAGCTCTACCTCGGGCCCCGCCTCGGACTCACTAAGGCTGTTGGGGGCAGCAGCTCGGTTCGTAGAACCAGCATCAGACCCCCCTCCCCCCAACAGACTATGTAAACTACCCGAGCTAGACATTGAATCAGAAGGATGGTTGAGGACTCACCCGGGAAAAGCTACTAGACTACAAAAAATGACGAGCTGATAGCCTTGGACGTGAGCTCAAGGAACGAATGCTGATGAATGGTGAAGGAAAGTGACCAGGGCCCCCCCACTATTTATAGCCACTGTACTCGCGCTTCAACGGCCAAGATCAAAACCATCCAACGTCTCCCCGCAAAATCGGCTGCCTGCCCCCTGAGGAGAAGTTAGTTTAGCACACGTTTTTGACGTTCAAAAGGAAGGCTGAGGACTCACCCGGGAAAAGCTACTAGACTACAAAAAATGACGAGCTGACAGCCTTGGACGCGAGCTCAAGGAACGAATGCTTATGAATGGTGAAGGAAAGTGACCGGGCCCCCCCCACTATTTATAGCCACTGTACTCGCGCTTCAATGGCCAAGATCAAAACCATCCAACGTCTCCCCGCAAAATCGGCTGCCTGCCCCCTGAGGAGAAGTTAGTTTAGCGCGCGTTTTTGACGTTCAAAAATTTAAAATCGTTTGGCATCCACGCGTGAGGTACATGCAACCCGGGATTGACCCCTGGTCGAACCAAGCTGACCCTAATTGGACCAAGAATACAAACAGGTCAGACTGGAGAAGTTCCAAACCAAGGCCAAGGCGTCACGAGGCAAATCCACCCGTCATTTCGTGAAATCCCCACGCCGGGTCAGGACCCCAGGCGCGGGGAGTGGGGGCAATTGATGGAGGGAGATTTGGCTCGACCCCTTGGCCACGCGACACGTGGAAGCAACCGAGAGTGACCTGGCAGAAGCGCCAGCTCGGCA